TTGTAAATACTTAAAATTCGTCAACTTTGAAAATTTAGAATTATAACAGTTCAAATCGCACAGTGCTTATTCATTTGGGAAGTAAAAATACGCAGCCACTGATATTATCACTTACCCTTCGTCAATTTAAAAATTTTAGAAGTATACCAGTTCAAATCGAACAGTGCTTTTCATTGAGAATGTATGTCTATTCAGTCTCTGTTGTAATAACTTAACTTTCATTTCCTGTGAAATTTTAGAATTGTTCCAGCTCATATCGCACATTACATTTTTTTTATGATGCATATCTATGCAGTCTCTGTTGTAAATACTTAACCTGCGTCAACTTTGAAATTTTAGAAATATATATTAGCGTGCTTCGGTTTTTAATTTGTATTACTTTCAAGATTGTTTGTAGTTATATCAGAATAAATTGATAAGATTACATCATACTCATGAAGGATATCTGTTATCTGTTATCCGAAATATTTATTGATACTTGTATTTACTGTTTCCTTTTTTAATATTGGTGTTTTGTACACTTTTTTAGACGTATATATATAATGTGGCTCTTCTGTTAATATTATCATAGAAGTTCAATTCATGACGTTATGGTTAAGATTCCTTAAGAACAGGTTTCTTAGGAATGTTATCACTTCATTACTATTTTATGTGACTTTTTAAAATCTTCTTTTGTGTCTTTCTTAATGATATTATTTTATCGTAAAGAAATATTCCAAAACATATCTATTAGAAATGTGAGATATGGGACTCTTATATATAATTGTTCCTCGCACAATACTTTGATTACAGAACAATGAATTCCTACCATTTTCAGACATGCCTAGCCACTTGGTGCACAGAAAAGTATTTTCTCCAAAACTTCTAAGAAAAATTGAAGCTATTTCATTGGACGAGGAGTTGTCAATATGCGCTATTTTGTAGATGTGAAATGAGAATTAAACGTGACAATCACCTTAATCCTGTCATTATTAAATGGAGTTTGAGTTTTGAATTGCTAAGTTGTCTCATGTTTATTCACATAAAGAAAACGAATTGCAAACACTTAGAGAAGAATCTGAAAAAAAACTAGTCAATAGTCCTTCTCATAAAAATTTAATTACACCTAAAGTTCTATCTATTACCTTTCAGTTCAATCTGCTCTGTCTGCAATAAAGCAACTGCAGCGTGACGCGGAGGATGCACTGAAACACAATGATAATGAAAAAGCTCTTGATGCATTCAACCGAGCAATTCCTTTGGCGATCCAAATCTATATTCCTGAAGAATTTGGAAAGTTACTGTGCAATAGATCGCTGGTTTATTATAACTTAAAAGATTACAGAAGAAGTCTGTTTGATGCTAATCAAGTCCCATTACATTATCCAGGATTTTTCAAGGTATTTTCTTTCACAGAGACACAAAATGTTTTGTCCAAGTAACATTCGTTTGCGTCTCAGCAAAAAATGTTCATTATAATTGCTTAAGTATAAAAGCTATTTAAACTGAATGGATACTAAGTTTGTCAAGGCTTTCAGACATGCAGATTCCATTAAATTATTCCGCATAATTATGGCAAACTGTATTTCTTGATATAATTGTTGATTTAAGAAGGTCTTTCAATGGAAACAATAAAATTGAGAATGGAAATGGGGAATGTGTCAAAGAGACAACAACCCGACCAAAGAGCAGAAAACAGCCGAAGGCCACCAATGGGTCTTCAATACAGCGAGAATCCTGCACCCGGAGGTGTGCTTCAGCTAGCCCCTAAACAAAAACATGTACTAGTTCAGTAATAATGGACGTCATACTAAACTCCGAAATATATAAAGGAACTAAAATTAAAAATCATACAAGACTAACAAAGTATTTCAGGTTATATAGGCATAAAGATGATAAATATATAAATCAATGAAAATGTCGAAACTCAGGATTTCGGTTATTGGACAATTAAAAATGTTTTAAGATTTTGGCTTAAAGCTAAAAGTATTAATATTTGTCTTGTCTTATTTCGAAAAATACGCCAACGTTTCAGTGTTCAGTAACTTTCAGCTCACCGAATATTTTGTTTTATGCAACAAGAAGGAAACACAATATATTTATGTATGACCTGAAACAAAATGTTTTATCCTGTGAAACGTTTGTCATCGGTGTTTGAAAATGAAATGTTAAGGTATTTCAAAAGAAATCTAAAAGATAGGTGACAAATTTTTGGAAACTAATTGTTTTGCATCAGCTTCCAAATTTCTTGCAGCTCGTTAAAATATAATCTTAAACCAAAGTTCTGATATTTGAATTCATTCAAACCTATTTCTGAACATTTGAATCAGATCATTTGAATATTAAAGCACATTTATTCAAATGAGGTTTGTTAAATTCAAAATTAACCTTAATTCTACCAGTTTTAAATCATGTGAAAGTCATAATTTCGAGATTGCACATTGCCAACTCTAAATTTGATACACACAATAGGTCATTAACTTGCATTTGATGGCCATTTTGAAAACAAAACACTGCTTACTCTTACGGAGAACATAATTAAGGTCAAGTAACAGTAAATTTGCCACGTCACAAATTTTATACGATTTTCCATACATCTGCGGTACCTATAAATATAACTAAAAAAAATGCATCTATCTTTTTTGTTTTTTCTAAAATTTTATTTGATAACTTTCTCAAAATAGATGCGCATTTGCATCGAAAGCACATAAAATCGGAAAACATTCTAAAAACTGTCTTAGATTTTTTCATAAAAATTGATATGTTGTTGCTACATAATTTCTGTTTTATTGATATAAAATTATTAAAGGACCACATACCTTTAGCAACACATATGGATTCCTATAACACATTGAGAGAAACAATTGTAATTATTCACATTTGTGACAATACTCATTTCAAAACAAAATAGCAAGATTTACAAATATTTAGTTATAACTTTTTACCTGCACCACAAAAGGCGGAAGCAGGTCTAGTAACCGCTCGATTCCGTCCGTCCGTCTTTCCGTTTGTCTGTCCGTCTGTCTTTCCGGCAAAGTTTTCTGGGTTTCTATGGAAGGGAATGATTTAATATTTGGTCTGCAGCTTTATAATGTTGAGTTGTAGCGATTAAGCAATTTTTACATCTGCCCTGAAGCCGCTTCCTGTTTGCCGATAGTTTGAACTTTTATAACACTCTTTGTACAAGGAACGTTTTCGTCAGAGTGTTCTTGGTTCCTATTGAAGAGAATTAAATACTAGTATTTGGTGTGCAGCTTGACAATTTTGTAGTTTGTAGTGAGTATCGCCGTTTAGCGATAGTTTGACATTTTACAACACTCGCTGTACAAGGACAATTTTCGTGAAATGTTTCTTTGCTCCTATTGAAGGGAATGATTTAAGTATTTGGTCTGCAGCTTGATGATGTTGAGTTGTAGCGAGTAAGCAATTTTTACATCAGCCTTATATATATAGTCACTTCCTGTTTGCTCCAGGTAACGTATTACATCAATTAGTTGCATGCAGCGACGCAGGTTCAGACCCGGTATTGGCCTTGTTTAATTATAAGCAAATATGCGTAAATATTTATTATGTATCAGAACTTCAAGGAATAATTATTATGTAAGAGAGGTTTTTTGGAATAATCATTATAACTGATGAGGTTTCATGTTCCAGGAAATTATTTAATGAAGAAGGAATAAATATCATATAATTTTAATTCTCATGAACATTAGTTATGTACCATTTTGTTCCATGTGGAACGTATATTATGCGGAACAAATATACAGTTACAACTTCACCTTATATTTTGAACTGAAAAATCAGAACGTTGTAAGAAAATTCATTATATCTACGAATTAGAACAAAAGAATCTGTAACTGGAGCAAAACATTCTAAACCAACTCCCCCGAAAGAGGATAAATATCATTAAAATGAAAGATGAAAATTATCATGCTGACCCATTGTTTTTACTAGACTTTAATTGACATGATTAGTTTCTCACAATTTTACTGCTTTACTTTACAAAAAACTTAACACCAAACCAGACGAAAGTGTTCCTCTTTTCAGAGCGCAGGAAAACGACAAAAACTAATATATCTTTAAAATTTAGTCAAACGCAAGAAATAAAAATAATGAAGATATTATCCTGGAATTATTTTAGTGTCTTTTGGTTGGAAAGACACGCATAGAATGGGATAATAAAAGGGGCATAAGCTACAAAAATTTAAAATACTATTCTTTCTGTTTCAACTATTAATAAAAGCGGAATTTTGGAATAATATTTCGTTATAAGTAGTTAGTTTGGCCCAAATTTGTCAAAATAAGCTCCATCATTGCCGATGTATTATTGACTGCAAGTGAATAATTCTACCTCATGTGAATCCGTATTGATGTGAACTTCAATTAAACACCATAGCTTGAGATAAGTTACGTATGTACTAGGCGTGTTCAGCTATTGAAAGGAAAAGAATGCCAACATTGAAAGTGAAACAACGGTGAACCATTTTGTTGACTGATTTGGTCCACAAAAAGTCGTTCTTATACAGGGAAAAAACGATGATTAACATATTTTTTTTACCTATAAAATGAAATCAAACAGACCTAGAAAAATCCAATTGCACGTGGCTGCTATCTTTTTATATTTATATGTATGTTGATAACATGTTATGACTGTCGGCAGTCTTCGGAGGTCATCTCGATGGTTCATGAGATGGCGTCTAGACTAAAATAACACGAAATGCTGATATATATTATTGAGTCCATGCATTGTTAATTGTTTACTTTAGACTTTTTGTAATTTGAATATACGTTTTAGTATGTTATAAATCAAATATGAGAATTTGAGTCAAATCGGTAAACATGAATTTGACAGCTAATGCCCCTTTAAACAAAATTCTGAGTTCATACTTGTGTTTTAAATATATCAAGATTATATAGATAATACTAATGATTGTACTAGAATGTGAAATCCATACCTTCTAAATTCTCCCAAACTTTTTTTATTGTAGGGATATTTTAGACAAGGTTTGGCATACAAAAGTCTGAATGAACCAGTCAGTGCAGTGGCATCTTTTATAAATGCAGTGAATATATGTAGACAAACTGATTTTTGCACACATGTTCTGGCTGCTTGTTATGTAGAACTGATAAAGGTTCTTTGTGAAGTTGAAGGTAGGTTATACAAACATCATGGCAGATCTTTGTTAGTTCTTATTCAATTTATTCACAACCTTTTCAGACTCTTAACGATTTAATTAAAACTTGTCATTTTGTATCAACACCCGTCTTTTGTTAGAGACTTTATGATGCAATGTAGATGTCTTTTATTGATTTGCATCGTAAGATTGGTGTTTCAATTACGTATATCACACACATCCTTTAGTTCGTATTTATAATGTACTTATATTAAATCTGTTAAACCAATTAAAAGCTGTCAAACGAAATACCTTTGCGACAATGATGATCGTGCCTAATTTAGTTTACACCAGTTGTGAGTTTTGCTATTGCTGTTTCCTTAACTATGATTAATCATAATGATTTCAATTTATCCTACGTTATAATTATTAAAGATAAATTTGCTTAATTTTCTGAACAAGAAACTTTATATTCAGTAAATTTACAAGATATGAAGCATTTTTTTTCTGATCTTACATTTATCCAGGAAAGCTTACAATCAAAATTTGACAGAAGTAGAGATATATTTTTGTTTATTTCCAGTAAAAATCCCCGATAGGGACATAAAGCAATGTACTTTAGGTCTATAAGCGTTGCAATAGTGAGGGGTCAAAGTTTGAGTTCCCTCTTTGTAGCCAGTTTTTTAAAACTAAAATATACTCAAAAAGGTATTGCTGCACCAGCAAACTTTCTTGCTCTCCCCACTCATAACCGTCTTCCGATACTTCTGCTTTAGAGAAAGATGGAACCTTTGATTTTTGTAGATCAAAAATATACAGAGTATGAAATTTTAACCAAATATATTTGATACTAGTACATCATATTATCTGTTCAGATCAGGCTCCAAAATAATAATTATGAAACAATTCAAACGAGAAACCGCTTAGCCAACAAGCTATCAGTCTACAAGAACAAAGCATCCTACCAACAAAACAGCCCATGTTCTTATTTCTTAATGCCGCGTGTTTGGTTTGCAATCAGGAAGAGCCAATTTAAAAGTTTTGTTACTGCAAAATTAACCAAAAATATGAGGTGTTATTGATTAAAATTATTTTTTGTTTTGTTTTAATAGTATAATATCAAAACCCTTTTTCATATTTAGTTATTCATACTTGGAAATTAATAAAAAACTTTAGTAATAACAAAAAATATTTTGTGCCTTTGTACTTAATACAAATATTTGCTGATACGTTAAATTTGATTATATATAGCTGTTAGTAGACAATACCTCAATTTAAGACTTGTAATACAATCCGTTCTTGTTAACTATTTACCATCTACAAAAATGTATGCAACAATTTATTACATATATAATTTTTTTCCCAGATATATTTGACTTAGAATCAAACATAATTGATGCAGAATCAAACATAGTCGATCCAGAAAATAACACAGTTAAGGATATAATCCTTCATCAGCTGTCATCAAACGGTCAATGGAAAGCCATTTCCTATTTGTTAATAGGTGCTATTACAGGCGCTGATTCAAAACTTGCAGGAAGTTTCTCAAACTGCGATTGTTCTGCCTTATCAGTTTTGAAGTTGTTTACTGAGACCATAGACACACAGAAAAAAGAATGGGGCTGCAAACTGGCAATTAAACTATTACAAAATGGTGCTTCATTTCAAGAATTTGAGAATGGATTGAAGGGGACCGTTATTCACTTCGGGGTTAACATTACTTTGAAAACAGGTATCAGCATTTTGTAAAGGCTTTATTTCTTGAAACCAACAATGACAGAGTAAAATCTTAAAAGAACAAATTATGGTTGATTGATTAACGTCCAGTGGCAAACATTTCATGCATGTTCAGGACACAAGAAAAAAAAAGAACTGAAAAAAAAGCATTGACGGGTTATTTTTCATTACTTTCTGAAAGTATAAAAATTAGAGTCTCCACAAAAGATCAGAGGACAATGACGTAAGCGACTCAAGGTTATCGCATATTGAAATATATAAGGCCCTGGGATGACAAAATGTGACAAAGTAAGAAAAGATTAAGCTAAAATTATGACAGACAGCAACCAACCACTAGCAATGAATTACATGTTCCTGATTCGGGACAGACGCATATTTTTTTTTGGCGGGATAAACATGCTTATGAGCGATCAGCCGTCTTCTGACAGTGGTGTAACAGTACAGCAATAAAACAAACTTTTGAAATAATTCCACGACAAAAGATACAATATTCCTATCCAAGATAACTCGCAGTTACTGAAAGCTAGTACTAACCCCAATTTCAAGAATAAATTAAATCAATCAGTACAGATAAATTTTGAATGTGGTTGGAAGATGCTTTGATATGTTTTGAAATAGTTTAGTACAAACTCAAACTATGTTGAATATACACATGAACATGAGCGATACATCTTATACTTCACAATGAAATAATTCAATTTGAGTTCCTGGTTTGATAACATTGTATCAAGAATGATCAAAAGTAAAGAAAGGTGACCTCAGATATGTTCCATTTTTGTTGAAACAAATCTGTCTCCTTTTCACCATTATACCATCAAATGCGCGACTTTACAACGGATTATTTACTTGTCATGAAAAATACGGCGTATGCAATATTGGAGCAGTAATTACTTACTCTTCTGGTGCATCTGAGTTATCACTGGGTTCTTTTAATAGGGTTTTTTTTGTTGCTTTTGATTAAGTTTTATCTGATGTATTTCCGTTTATTTTTTTTTTCAATATCTGTGTTGTTTCGATCGATTACAGTTTGTCGGTGATGTATAAATGTGTATACAAAAAAGAGAAAGTTCTGCCTAATGTACGACAAAAGCATTCATAACCCCCTAAAAAGTCATTTAACAATAAAATATTAAAAAATAAAAATAAAAAACTTACACCATGAAATCTTGTTGAACTCTTGTGCTCGAGGAAAGTTTCCATGTAACAAACGTGATGCAAAACTAGTTAATGTTAGACAAATGGATGAGGACAGAAAGACAAATTGATTAACATGATTAAGACAGACTGAAAAAAGACACCAAAATAATGGTCCTTTTTTTCTGCAGGTAATGTTGAGTTTTTGAAATATTTACTATCAACTCATATAAAAACAACATCAAGCATGAATGTCAAACTCAACGGAGATACAGCACTACACGTTCTTGTGAAGGATTTAGAAATACGTAAAACAACTATTGGCGAAACGATCATTGGTCTTTTGGTTAATCATGGCTGTGGTTTAAATATAAAAGACAGTGCAGGAAAAACAGCCATTGAATATACGAGTAAATCTGACCAAGTATTCAGCTTATTACAGAATGCTTCAAATAGCAATAAAGGTAAAGAAATATTTGCCCCTTTTAAGCACAGACTCGTTTTGCATTAACATAAAAGTTTCATATGTTATGCTTTACAATAAGAAACATACAGTTTTTTATTTATATCTATGGATTGATCAGTATTCTTGAAGCACATATCAATTGTAATCAATTGACGAAGTGAAGATCGATCGATGCTTAATGTCCAGCGTCAAATATTAATGTATATTCAACACGACAAATGTGAATTTCATCAGAATACATAACCGCGCTGAAGTACGGTAAATACAGTTTTGCAAAACACTGCAAGCTGAATCATTTTAAACATGGTTTTTCACAAAGAAACAGCCAACTGGAAAATATGTCGCCCGATTTCAACCAGACGAGTCTGTTTTTTTCTTCTCTTAAGTGATGTGTGGCTAGTGAGGAGGTAGCAACTGCAAATTCTAAAATTTTGTTCGACTTGACGGGAGGATAAATCCATGAACTTCCGATCTTTGAATGCTTAAATATTGAATAAAAATCAAAATTTGTATCATTTGATAATGATTGAAGCGAACAATAAATCCACGGAGTCGAGTATTTTCTCAAACCAATTATATACATTGATAAGTATGAATCCAAATGAAAATACAGTAAAATGTATATCAAATTTAACCTTTATTTATTAATACATTGTGGCAGAAGTACAGAAAAAAAATAAATATCATTTTGCATTTTTCATTTCATTAAATACATTCATCGTGCATGAATAAATGATATTTGATTAAATATGATTCAACAAATTAATCAGAATTCCATACATCGATCCTGTAGGTAGAGGAATCAGTGCAAATATAACGAGAATTCGGAAGATCGGAAAGGATGCCCTTCAGGCAGGCAACTTAGATAAGGCACTTGAAATATACACAGAAGGATTAAAAGATTGTTCAGATGAAGGAGACTTCAAAAATGAAGCAATAATGTATACAAACAGGGCAACTGTATATACTAAGCTTAACCAACACGAAATGGCTTTACAAGATGCAGAAAGTGCTATTCAAGCTGATTCATCATGGCATAAGGTATGAACACATTTTGTACTTAAGGTGATACAACATCTCCATTTTTCTTGTAGCTATGAAGAAGACCAAACTCGCGCATTTGCATCTAATGTAGAATAAATACCTCCCCTCTTCTATTTTTCATGGCGATTGCTTTCCATGCACTATAAAAAGTTACACATGACTGAGTATTCATCGTAAATGTATGTTACAGGCATTTTCTAAATTTAGGCATTTTAGAAAATGCCAGAAATTTTTATGCATTCTCGAAATTGCCTGTGAGACTTAGACATGTTATAAATTGACTACTCTTTTCGGGCATTTACCAAATGCCTGGAATAATTGATAGACATTTTGTAATTATTACATAAAATGAAATACTCACATAAACTGAGCCACTGAAAATGAAGAACAGACAGTCTGTTCTATGATAATTACTGATTTCAACAACATGCATTTTAAGAGTTTTAACAATTAATCAATAATTCATCTGAATTATTTACAATTCCCTCAAGCAAAGACAATTATTTGTTATTCATGAAATGTTTGGATGGTAAGATCATTTACACATTTGTCCTGATGGTTTTTGTTTTTGTTTTGTTTTTGTTTGTTTTGTTTACAAAATCATCGTTTGGTGTTAAATCTTGTCTGACCATTAGCACTACAACTATTTTTAGTGAAAGCCTTACTATTACACATTCAGCTCTTTTAAAAAAAAATCTTGATAAAACATGGGTTTTTTTTCAAACAGAACACACAATAATATATTCTTCTATTACCTGTGTTCCCAAAATACTAAAATTAACATAACCATGATTAGATTGAATTACATCTTTTGACTGATCTGAGCGTTTAGAGGCCTTTACATATCTTCATCAGTGTGTAAAGAATCAATAATCTCACGAGGCAGTGCAGATAAAGATGAGCATATCTTTGCATCAGGACCAAACGCGGCCTTCTAAGGTGATCTGTTAATACCTGTGAAGTGTTTTCGAAATATTATCCATCCTAAGGGCTCAATTGGGTAAAGAAATATACTTCACATATCTCACGGTAAAATCAATGCTAGACAGGGGAATCCGTAGGCTGTGCGGTATGTATAAATTCGCATCCTTTTTAAATGGTGATATTAAATCTGGTGTTTCAAGTAGTGATAGTGTCTCGCTCTCTGTACGTTTAGAACTTTTGCACATTTCCGTAGGTATATCTAATTGGCACAGAAATATGTCCTTTCATCAGGCCGATGAAATAACACATTTCTGTGTCAATTAGATATACCATTTTTTCGAGTATCAGTCAAAGTTCCTGTCTTTCATCCTGGTCAATCCATAGCATAACTTAATTAATGGATTTATTATTGATATGTTTCCATCCTGAATAAAAACGAAATATTTGCTACTAGAAGTAAAACAAACAACAATCAATCAATCAAAATAATAAAAATTTTCTTTGCTCCATATAACACACATCTGTTTTGAATCTAGATTTATTTGGTATGAATGTTGTTCTTCTACCGTAAAAACAATTTGAATTAACCTGAAAATTCATGCGTTTTACAAAGTGTCTTAATTTAGAATATGACTGAAAAACATACAATCAACTGTTTTAAGCAGGAACAACTGCAATGGATAAAGGCATATTTAAGAGGAAAAAAAGTGACGATAACGTCCATTATCCTACCGGTTTCACCTTCGATCATCTGGAATAATGTGACGATAGAAGGTGAAACCGGTAGAGTTACGAAACATAAACACCTCTTGTTTTGCATAGGATAAAACATTGACACCAAAGAAGACCACTTATCGAGCTGAAATATTTGCCAATACGATTTTATTACATCTAACAATATTTCACTTTTATTTACTAAACAATTTAGTGTAAACTCATATTTAGTGTGAACTCATATTTAGTGTGAACTTTTCTTTCGTGTGAACTTTTCTTTCGTGTGACTTCAAATTAGTCAGACATTACACTGTTACTTGGTCATGTTTTATGAACATATAAAACGTCCGGCCTCATTAGCCTCACAACATGACATATTATTATCTACCCTATATTTGAAATGACTGAGTTTATTAATGTTCACAAATAAATATGCACTCATGATTAATTCAGTCTCGTTTCTATTATTGACTGATATATGAACAGGTGTAGTAATCTAACAACTTATTTGTAAACTTTGTAATTCAGGCACACTGGAGGAAAGGAAAAGAACTGTATCTTCTGAAAAAATACGACGAGGCATTTGAAACATTCCTAATTTCATTTGAAGTATTTAAGCTAGTATGTGACGAAAAAGATTTAGTTGATTTGATCATCGGTGCTGTCATTGCTTTTCCAAATATACCAGGTATGAATAATGTGACAAACATAGAGTTAAAACCATTGACTGATGTGAACAAAAGGGAATTGTTTCAAAATGCCTAACCCAAAATATAAACAATATAAGACATAGGATATTCTAAAATCGTAAACATATGATAATAATTTCAATGAGCACGAAATCACTGACTCAAATCTTAAACTCAAAGCCTTAATTATATTTTGGTTCTTAAGATGCCGTCTTTTGCATTTTAATCAATTCAGTTCTGTTCAGTTCAATACCCCAAATACGCTCGACATCTCTTATTCCCTTGAAAAATAAGAAATATTATAAAATTACATGTTTGTATCATAAGTATTGAATATAAACTCGTCAAAGTTACCAGGATCAAAATTGTGTACTCCAGACGAATTTCGCCTGATCACACATTCTCTTTTGGTTTATTTTATATTTCACTGTGTTTAAACAAACATAAAATATCTATGTGCTGAAATACCCCAGCTGTTTTAAACCCATGTGAACATAATTGAGCACATGCAATTATTTACACTTCTCTTACTCAATTTAACGAAACCAACACATTTTTACATAACTGGTCAATACCTCTGCCGATGGACTGTCAGTCACCGAGGGTATCATCAGCTCAGTATTCAATACTTCAGTACTGACATGACTTATAACAAACCTTTCTTAAATTGTCCGTTCATAAATTTAGAAACTGTTTAGAAATTAAGGTTTCTATTTATTGAGGCAAAGTTAACCTTAGATGGATTTTGCTATTTTTTTAGGTCCTTTTTTGAAAGAATTACTGATTAACAGTTTATTTATACGTTCCTCTTTTTTATTCTGTTTGTGATATCCCTCACTCAAAAGTATACACAGCTAGAAAGATAACATTATTTTTTCATGAATATAGTATGATAAATATAATTTTTTGTTATAAGAGGTAATGCCTAAAGTCAACATGGTCAATGATAATTTTGTTTTTTAGACAATCTTAAAGCAACGAGGTACGAAAAATTGTTAAACACATCTTTAGTCCAGTTTTGGCCTGACGTACTGAATAGATTGTCCAAAGAGTCTGAATGGAGAGGGATTAGCTATTTGATTTTAGGATTGAGTACAGAAGTTCCATCAGATCATACAGGTATATATATGTAAACATATACGATGCAGTCCGGTAAATCCGCCCACATAAGGCTTTGATCCTATGTATTTCTGCTTAATTATATACAAATTGTATCAAATTTAATATAAATCGATTCACTGACAAATCAACTTTGAGTAGTTTATCTCATTTTCCAAACATATCTGAAATAAATTTTAAAACCAACATAACAAGTGGGTCACCTGTGTTTTTATCGGAAATTTATTTGTCCGGTAAATCCGCCCATGTGCAATCAATATGTATGGAGAGCCAGTTTATCACATATTTATGAAAGGAAAAGATGATCTATTAAAAGACCACTTATAAAGGGATTCCAGACAATCGAAAAAAAAAATTTCAAGTCAGAAACGAGTTTTGTTAGCAATAATATGATTATCGTTAGCTTTAGGAACTGTATTATATATATCACTAGATATTTTCGTAATAAAGGATTTTTCTTTAAAATTTGACATGCAGTGATGAAAAGTACAGTTCCTATGAAATATTCACGGAAGTTACAATAACGGAAGTAAATGGGAGTGGGCGGGTTTACCGGACGGGCGGAATTACCGGACACTACTGTATATGAAGGCTTTTTAAGCCCCCGCGACAAAATGTCGAGGTGGATATTAATTTACTCCTGTCTGTCCGTCCGTCCGTTCGACCGTGTGGATATAGATACATGATTTGTCCGGCTATCTCCTCCTACAGTTTTTGAGCTACAGCTTTAATATTTTGTAGGTTGTTTGTACACATAATGGAAGTGTGCATGTTCAGTTGTTTTTGTCAATATGTCTTTTGATTGAGTTAAGCCATTTCAATTGATATTTTATAGTGTGTCTTTCTATGTTGTGATGTTACACTATTGTTTCAGGTAGGGTGAAGGTTGGCGCCTATAAAACGTTTAAACCCGCTGCATTTGTTTGCACCTGTCCTAAGTCAGGAACCTGATGTTCAGTGGTTGTCGTTTGTTGATGTGGTTCATAATTGTTTCTCGTTTTTTTATAGATTAGACCATTGGTTTTCCTGTTTGAATGGTTTTACACTAGTCATTTTTGGGGCCCTTTGTAGCTTGCTGTTCGGTGTGATCCAAGGCTCCGTGTTGAAGGCCGTACTTTGACCTATAATGGTTTACTTTGCAAATTGTGACTTGGATGGAGAGTTGTCTCATTGGCACTCATACCACATCTTCTTATATCTATGTCCACAGGATTTAAATTTTTTTCAAATATTCTCAAAATGCAAGGTAATTGGACTTAGTCATTTTTTGGTACTAGCTGCATAAACAGATCATGGTTTGTCTAGCTATCTCCTCCTACAGTTTTTGAGGTAAAGTATATTTTGTAGGTTGTTTGTACATATAATGGAAGTGTGCATGTCCACAGGATTTGATTTTTTTCAAAATGCCAGGTATTTGAACTTAGTAATTTTCTTTGTATTAAAAGTCAGAAAGGGGAGATTTTAGATATTCACAAAAACCGGTAGTTGGACTTTATTTCCTTCTCACTTGCTATATAATTGAAAAATGGTTTGTACTTCTTCAGTTTAATATCCTTAATGCAATAAATAAGATTGTCAAATATGTAATCAATATCGGGAAGTTGAACATGGTGACCACTGGAAATAGACAGTTGATTTGGGTGACTACTAAAACTGGGAAGTTGAAGCCTTTTGGCTGGACATTCAGTTCTGCAAGTGTAGTCATTCAGAATAAAAATAAAAGATAGATTATTAAACATAGTGTTAAATTTATAATTTCTTATGATCAGGCGGGAGCATCATTTGTGTCTTACAGACAGCGCAACAATTTCAAGTTGCACTTCAACATCACTGTTTGTCAAATCTAAAGTATATGGAACTGTACTCATGCATATGGAAGAGCAGCAGGGGGCATCGTCCGTATCTAGTTATTTTTTTATTTTTGAAAAGGTTCTGTATGAATTTTGCTTCACATGAGTACAAAAATATGTCGGCCAGTAGTGGTGCACAGTTATTACCAATTGGAATACCGAACTCAACAAATATGCTATTGTTCAAAAAGTTCATCATTTTGATGATATTATCTTCGGTGTATTAGTTGATGGAATCAGTGTAGTCCTTTGTCAAAATGCAAGAATTTATTAGCTAAAACAAGGATCTTTACTTTTCTCATTCTTGTAGAAAAAGCTCTGGTTATTGAGGCGATGTAGTCAATCTTTCAACTGAACATGGGGAATATTAGTGTAAAGCGTAGACAAATCAAAGTTTTTTTATATTACTGCAAAATTGTGTTTAAGAGGTTGGAGTAGATCTTTATAATTTTTAATATTCCCCATCTAATTGACACTGCAGCTTGAAAAAACCTCATCACAATATTTCTAAAGGCTATATGGTTGCAATGATAACATCAAAGGAGTAGGAAATTTGTCAAGTTCAGCTTAAATTAATGTAAATTTAATGAGCATATTTAATACTAACTAAAACCCCAGCATAGTAATGGGCAAAAACATTACCATCGGTCCAATGTAAAAAAAGTCTTCCAAATCTAGATCGAAATCTGGGAGCTTTGATGACCTTCTTTAATATCTTCATCATCCGCTAGGAATTCATTACATAAGAACTATTTTTTTCACTGCCTGTTAATTTTCTAAAATCTTTGAAAGATTATGCGCTTGACATGGGATACATAAATACATTTTCTCCAATATACAGACTAGTAAGTATAATTTATGATGTAGCTCTTTCCCGCTTTTTTAAACCAGTAAGAATGGAACCATATGATGATGAAAATAGGAAATTCCTTCCAGTTCAGTTTTCTATTAATAAAGGAATATACCAACATCAGCAGCGTTCTTCATCACAAAGAGGTAACATAAAAAATTCCACTTTATTATGCCCCACCTACGATAGTAGAGGGGCATTATGTTTTTCGGTCTGTGCGTCCGTTTGTTCGTCCGTCTGTCTGTCCCGCTTCAGGTTAAAGTTTTTGGTCAAGGTAGTTTTTGATGAAGTTGAAGTCCAATCAACTTGAAACTTCGTACACATGTTCCCTATGATATGAGCTTTCTAATTTTAATGCCAAATAAGAGTTTTGACCCCCAATTTCACGGTCCACTGAACATATAAAATGATAGTGCGAGTGGGGCATCCGTGTACTATGGACACATTCTTGTTTAAAAAATCAGTCTGTTCCTATTGTATCCTACATTAACACAAAAACCATTGCACCTAAAGTGTTTAACTATAAGCAAGCATTGCAGAACCTTGATTTAGAATAATACCTACAAAAACACTCTGACATCTGACTGTTCCCACTCGCCTTATATTTACAGTCCCTCTGACCATGTTATTACTGGGGATCTAAACATAATTCAACATGAACATCTCCGAAAGGTGATATATCATGGTGCTAAGCTCAGAGAACCCCAACACATCAATTGGAACCATAACTTCAAACTAATTATGGATTCCATTGAGAACTACGCCAGAACATTGGATAAACGGGAAGAAGTTCAACTTGACAATTTGTCAGAAGTGGTTTAAGCAATCAGGTCTATGATAAAATGTCGAGTAAAAAAGTTAAAAACTATAAGAATGATCGACCAAATTCCGTATTCAGATACAAAGAAGCTGTGAAATGTCTATCATCTCTTTACGGTAAATATGTTGTTGCTGCAGACAAAGCTTCAAATAATATTGTTTTTGTATATAAATCGTACTACTACGAGTGCCTTGTAAAAGAATTTAGAATAAATGGTATTCCCACATACAAAAACAATTATTTGACAAGGATGCGATTTCGGCGAATCATAAGTCCTTCATGGCTTTAATGAACATTACATTGAACGAAAATCTTAGGACTTACCTTGTTTGGATTGGATACCTAAGCTCCACA